CTCGCTGTATTCTCTCTCTCTCTCTCTCTCTCTCTCTCTCTCTCTCTCTCTCTTTCTAACTAAGCGAAATGGAAAGTCGCTACGATTCATTACGGTGGCACGTTTTGTTCCGCTTCTCCCCTTTCATTAATTTTTCAACGTTGCGATTTTCTGGATCGCTCAACTTTCGAAAAGCACGATTCCCGGTGGTCCGTGAATTCTTTTTTTTTTTTTTCATCCTCCTCCGAATGAAACGGTTTTTCTCGTTCGGTTGGCGGATCGTTTTTGTTGGATCTTCGCGAGTTTTGGTTTAGGATAAGTTTCGATCGGGTGATCGATCGGGTTATAAAAATTGTGTTTCATCGTGTATTATTACTCTAAGGATTATTTATCAAAATTAAAGAGGGGGAAACTTACCGGGGAAAATCACATCGACGATCGAATTGGAAGCAGAGACTAATACTTGAGACGCTTTCGACTCGTCTGGAACAAAGGAAAATTAAAATTGTTTTTTGTTGGAGAAAACTCTTCTTCGTTGAGCAATAGGGGAAAAAAAAAAGATAATAATTTGATATGTTTCGTAATATTTTATCCGTTAAATAAATTCAATTTCTTAGATTCCAACACAGTCTTTGTGAATCGATTTAGAACAAATGTATTAAAAGATTTATTGGCACACAAATATCTTCGTTATTGCCATTATTATTATTCATTTTACTATTTATTTATTGCTTTCAAATCAGTCTACAATTTAATAAAATAAATATTCTCTCGTATCAAGAAATATTTACGAAGCCTCGAATCGAAAATTCTGGACTTTCTTAAAGTTGAATTGAAACTCTTGCAATGGCAACACTGTACAAAGATCGCTTAGTATCCGCGCCATTACTAAAGATAAAAAGATAAAAAGAGTACTTCAGTTCTTTTTAATAATCAATAAATAAACCATACATTTTCGTGTACCAAATTTTGTACCAACGCACTCCTTAGAATCAAAAGTAATTGATACATAATCGTCGTAAAATATTTTTATCGGCGATAAAAATTTAATTTCCCAATCTATTTAAATATATAATCGAGATTAATTGTTTTATACTTTTCATCGCACCAAAACCATTTTGCAAAAAATAATATCATGCCCCGATTTTACTTAGCAAGTACTCGATTTATGAATAGCTTTTTCGCTAAAGAGCTTACAAAACAGCGGCGTTCAGCAGTTCAGCCCGTGCAGGGGAAGAGTGGCGGACAGTGTAAGTACTTAGTACTTAAGCCCAATAGGGCCTAAAATCTCAAGTCCCCACTCAGCTAGTTCCACTGTCCGTAGTTTTGCCCTCGGCAAACAACCAAGAGCGTGTCTGTAAATAACAGATCGAACGGAACAGCGTTGCTACTTAAAGACATACCAGAAAACTACTTTATCGAACAATGTTATACAAGATTCACTGGTGGATTCAAAACATTTCCTTCGACTTTTCGTCCATTGTTCGAAAATTAATTGATCGATAAAAAAAACTATAAACAATAAAATTCATACGAAAAACTTCCAGAATACTTTTCCCAACATCGTTTATACGCGATATTAATTTATCGAAAACTACTTTATTGAACAATCTTGTAAGATTCACTTTTCACGTTTTCTGAAAATTAATTGATCGATAAAAAAAAATTATAAACAATAAAATTTATACGAAAGAAAGACTTCGCGTCGAAATCATTGTCGATGTGTTTATTACTTAAAGAAAACTACCAGAAAACTACTTTATTGAGCAATGTTGTAAGATTCACTTTTTCACATTTTCTGAAAATTAATTGATCGATACAATAAGATTCGCGTAGAAGGTCGAAAATTTTCGTTTTTACACGCGATATTAATTTATCGAAACGTGATTGTTCTCGATTCGAGGAAAGGGACGATCGAAAGGGGATGCTGCTCCCCAGTTTGAGGGGAGGAAATTCAACGACGAGACGCTAGGGGTCGAATACCGCATAGATCACGCGTATTCTTACGTTCGCACGCGTGCCGGCAATTCGTTGGTCGCGCGATGGCATTGTTGTCTGCTAATTTACGGACCAATTAATTAGCGCCACGGAGCTCAGATATTCCTGGCTCCCCGCCGCTCGAATTGCCCTCCCTCCTTTTCTGATCCCTCCTCAGGCTACACGTTGTTATCAGCTTCGAACGTTTGCTCTCCTTCGATGCTCGTGGACAAATTCACTTCTTATTCTCGCGGGTTGTGGTCTCCTCGAAATTATTCTATATTCCTGTTCATCGAAGTTTTTGAAGTTTTTTGAATTGAAAAACAAAGAAGAAGAAAATGGTATTACGATCCTTCTAAGTTGCTAAGTTAGAGCCTCTCTCTCTCTTTATTGCGTGTTATTCAATAGCGTTTCATAACTGACTCTTTTCGCAATTGAATTTGATATTTCTACGAAAAAAATAATTCGAGAAAAATAATTGTCGAACTGGAAGAACAAAATAATCAAGATTTCATTCTATACAATCATTCTGTTTTATTTATTTATGCTAAACAAATAAGCATCATCACCCAACCACGAAACGTAATTGTACAAAAAATTAGAGCGCTTTAAATTAAATTTATTTATAAATTATATAACAAAGTTTCTGTCAAATTTTTGTACGAGAGCGTGAAATCTCAAATGAAAAAATAATTTTAAACTCTTACACGATTAATTTCCCATATTAAATCGCAAACGATATATATATATATAAAATTTGTTTTGCAAATCCCCACGATCTTTCTCTGTAATCCCTCGAATATTCGACTTTGCCTTTAGGAGGGTAAGAACGTCGAATGTTTCTTGGCGAGAGAAAGAAAAAAAAAAGGAGAGAAAGAAGAGAGGGAGGCGCGTGTGTCGGTGGAACGTTATAGATGACAGTGTCACCGACAGAAGGTCGACGCGGCGGACAGGGCAACGTGGTGTCAGTGTCCGGGATGCAGAGTGCAGGAGACAACGAATAATTCATCCCTCTGTGCAGAGATGCGCCGCACATGTCGTCGCCCGAGCATCACGCTTTGTGCGTTGCACCCGCCTCGCGAAATATAATCTTTCGTGTTGCGTGGTCAACTCGTTCAACGTCGTCGCGCGAGACCTTATTTTCGAGTCGAATCACTGGGGGGAGCCAGTTGCCTGGACGGATTTGAAACGTTTCACAAATGAGCGATGTTATGAATGAATTTATAAATTTTTAAGCGCGTGAAAAAATTAACGTAGCGATTCATTTCAGTTTCATTAGGTATTCAAGGTTAGGATTCGTCGTTTGATTATTGAAATTAGCTTCTTACCTTGTTTTGTTAATAAAGAAACGGTTAGTCTTGTTAGAAATAGATAATTCAATTTAATCGTTGCAATTTTGTTTAATTCCCTGTTTATTATTTAACGTAATGAATATTTAATTTATTCATTGGATTAAATTATCAATTTATATGCATCAAATTAATACAGGTTAAAACGGTGTTAATTATTTTGATACAGTTGATAAAGATTTTTTTTTTACGTTTAATTAATAAAATAACAAAAACTATAATATAAGAAAATCGTATTTAATTAAGAGTTAATTAATATTATGATATCACAAAAAAGAAATTATAATTACTTACAATCTTCTAATTTTCTCATGTAATTCTTTAATGAATGGACAGTCAATCCATTAATAATTCTAAAAACTTTTAGCTTATACTTATTCTTTTGTCAAGAACGAAAACTTTCGTTTCGTTGCAACTTAAGTTATTTACATTTATTTTATCTTGAATATTTCGTGTCACTCACGCGCACGATATAAATCGTACATTGAAACTTTCCATAAATGCGTAAACATCCACGGTCTAGTTATAAAATATGAAAATCTCTAGGGCGCCAATTTACCAGCAAGGAATCTCAACCGTAATACCATCTTTTCCCCTAGCTCCACCAATTTCCACCAATCGTGTTAAATTCACGATAGACATTTTCCAATAACCGTCTCTTCCAATAAAATTCCTTCAAAAACTTTCATAAAACTTAACAATTGACAAATTTCCCCGCTACTTTCCCCTAGCTTGCCGCTCAATTCGAACCAAATAAAATCTTTCTTTTTAAATTTGATCGTATATTTACACGTAAGATACTCGATCGCGCCTCCTCGTGATGGACGGATTAATTTCTGACAGCAACGTCGCGATTCATCGTCGCTGAAAAGTGCGAGCAAATAGGCGGAAGATAACGATAACGTCCACGCCAATAACGACGGTCAGCTATGATTATTAATCATGTGCAGGTTGCGCGTGCGAGTGTCAGCGGTGCGTGGGGAGTCTGACTAATCGTTCCGCCATTGTGGAATAATATACCTATGGCAGTCGAGAGCCTCGTTTTGCTTCTGTGTTTCTATAGTTCAGACGTTACACCAGACTTGCCAGTTTGTTTTGCGCGATTTCGACCGCGAATTATACGATATTCAGAAAGCTTTATTCTTTTATAATTGTTATATATTTGTTAGCACTTTTGTAGCCATCGTTATTCTGTAATTTAGATTGAGAAGCATAGGCACGAGAAACACGAGATTAATAGAGTTGAAAGTAAGGTTATATAATTTGTCACTTTCTTCCTCCATTATCGAATAAAATTGATGTAATACGTTAATTATAAAAACGAATGCTTCGATCCTCTAAAGTCGAAACTTTTACTCTTTTTCGAAAATATAAATATAAATAATTATCGTGGATCAGAATTATTTCTACTTGATTTTCCATTATCCGCCTATGAGATTAAATTCAATAATCACGACAAATCATCCAGGTTTACCAGATTGGAAATTTCTTCTGTTGCGCGGATGAGCGGAGATCTTCCAGGGCCAGGATATTTTGCGGAAAAGTACGAGATCCTCCTAAACCAAGGGAATCCTACCGGCTGCTCGCTTTATCCTGGAACGGTGCCGCGCTAATGCAGCAATAAACATGCATCTATTCGAAGCGGAGTCGCGCCAGACGAGAGAGAACAAGAAGAATAATACGCGTCAACGTGAAGGAGGAAGAGGAAGAAGTGGAGGCGAAACTTTTTCAAAAGTTGAAATGTAAATATAGTCGAAGTTTGTAATACAATTATTTAGACAGGAATAAGCGAGTTATTTAAAATTCTTCGTCGGATTACATACACCAGCGCTACGTTGATCTATATTTTTGAACAGGTGAAACGAAAGAAGGAAGAGAATGAGTTTTACGAAAGTTGGAAATATATGAATTGATAGTCGTAACTTCGATAATATTTTTAATCAATAAATTGTCTCAAGAGAAATAGCAACGTTCGAAACTTTTCTTTCGGAAAAGTTTTATGAAGTATTATTCGCATGTGAATATTGCTTAAAATTTTGTTTGTAAAACAACAATAAAGGAAATTTAATTGTTTTACAAGAACTTGAAACCTAATAATTTCGATCTATCGATGTAAATAAATAATGTTGTTTTATAATGTTATTTTATAAAGTGGAATTATTATCGCATATTTGTTATAATAATTGATAAATTATATTTTTTAACAATTAGGAATTATTTACGAATTTTTACACGTAAAACAAAAATTTTTGAATTATAAAATACAAATATACGATATAAGTGAGTTTATCATGAGTCAGAGTAACATTTCAATAATTTTGTACAAAATCTAATTGCTTTAGAGTCAGATAAGACATGATCAAATGATCTTTCTACAAGAATCTTGATATCGTATCACTAATTTTTTCATTCTAATATCAGAGAAATCTGTCAAAACTATGCATATTGTGAATTATTCTTTAGTAACTTTAATTCAGAGATAATACATGCGATATTAGAACGTTCGATAGATGATATCGCATCAACTCTCTTCATTAAATTTCATTATTCATAAATATCATCTTTACCAATCATTATTTTGTTCTTCTTTATGAATATTTGTTCGCGCTTGTCGAAACCATTGTCTTATTTTACTATCGCCACAAATTGTCTAAAAATTTCTGCAATAGTTTGATCTAACATAACCTAACTTTTCACCAAAGGTAAATAATTGCATTTTCACAACACAAAATTTATCTCTTAATCTATTCTTAACCTAACTTTTTTTTTTTACTAAAAATAAATAATTGTGTTTTTTACAGACATTATTTTATACAAAATTTATTACGTTATTGACAATAAACGAATTTATCTAAGATTAAATAATCGATCAACTAAGGAATTAGTTAGTTATAGAAAAATTACTATATTAGTTTGATTTTCCTATTTTTATTGGCGGGAATTTTGAAATCTTATTAAAAAGTACGTCTCATATTTCACGTAGAAATCGCGTATTGCGAGATAACGCAACTCGTTGGTCCGAATAAATCGATGTATCGAAGAGATAAACATTTCGAAAATTTAAATGAGAAAAATACAATCTACGTCGACGGATATTATTTCCGAATCATAAAGCTTGTATAATCATATAATATTAATCTCGGAAAATTTGAATTAATAAAACGAAAATATTAATAAAATCAATTCACCGATTTATTTAAAAATAAAACATATAAAACTAATCACAAATTTACGCTCACAAAACTTATCTTATGAAAATATTATCATTCAATTAATTAATTTATTTTGTTTAATTAAAATTTTAATTTTATCCTGTCTCCAAAAAAGATGGAAACATATATACGAGATTAGAGATTCGTATTTGCTGATCAATGAATAAGAATACAAAGTAAACAACGAATCAAATCGATTTATAAAAAAACATAGTAAAATAGAATGTTGATTAATCGGTTTAAAATATGGCTTGGATAAATCAAGGCCCATTAGATAATCGAGTTCCAGAAAGAAATAATTAGAAATAGCACTTTCTTTACAATTCATTTTTAAAAATTATATCAGCTATAATCATTATAATAATCCTAATAATTATCAATTTCAAAAAGTGGTGGAGAGAAATTTAATAGAAAAAAAAAAACTAACATTGCAGAATAAAAATCATTGGTGTAAAGTCATCAGGTTAGATCAAGTTACATATAGCATAATCACTTATTTTAAAAAAGAAAAAGAAACAGACAAAAAACTGGATATTAAAGAAATGCGAGAATTCGATATTTATAAAAGTTTTCGCGATTCGATAATTTGACAAATTTAAAAAAAAAAACATTAAAAATAAATCGATATAAATGAAAAGAAAGCTCTTAAAATCGCATTGTAAACTTAAAAAAAAAAAAATGTGATGACTCTCTTACTTAACTCTCAACAAATATTTTGTGCTCTGTTCGTTCACAAGTTCACTGTTTAAAAGAGAATAAATGTTTATTTATACCCTAGATTATTATTTTTCTCCAACTGTCTGCAACAATAACGATTCACCCATCATAACCTCAAATACTCCCACGAGATAATTTCTCATATCAAATTACTTGCTACTGTATCCTCAATGTGCAAATATTTGATAAAATCCTTAGGAATTGCCATCGAGAGTTATTTCTTGTTAACTAACTAATCTAATATAACCGATAGAGATTTTTAAAAAATCGAGATGCTCCTTTAATCGTGAAACTTGATGTTTTTATATATATATAAAATAGAAACGTTAATACAACACCCCCAATGAACGATGCTACTCTTATTTAGGTCATCGAGTATAATAGATTCCCGGTTCATTCATTAAAAGACACTCTATTTTTGTAGTAATAACGAAAATAAGTTACCCGACAGTATTTTTATTCCGACTGGTAGCACGCGTACGTGGCGCACAATACGGAAAGGAAGTTAATTACTCCTCGCTCCCATTTCGATTTTTTGAATAGCCAGCCGCTCAACAAAAGGAGAGAAAAGACATAACGTCGCTGGGGGAGAAAAAATAGGTTGCGCCGTGAAGGGCCTGTTTTGAAATATTTTACTACTGTTGCTGCTACTCTGCCGCGGGAATTTTTTGAACCTTGGATATATATATATATATTTTTTTTAATTTCGAATTTTTTTTTAAGGCTTTAACAAACGCGCATCTCGCTTTCCTTCGTCTCTTTCCTTTTCTCCTCCGATCTTCGCCTCGTTGCGTCTTCGACGGATATTTTATTCGTAGATAAAATAGAATTTCGAATTAAATTTTCGAGAGATTTTATTTTTTTAAGATTTTCTAATTAACTTGTCGATTGTTCAAATCCTTCAACTCTTTAGATTTAATATTTCAGGATTATTTGGAGACGAAAAAATTTTGGATTTTTATTCATTAGATTTTATAATTTTGGATCTTTTTCAATTTTTTTTTCTTTAATTGCGATTTTAAAAAAGTTATTTTATTTTTAAGAACGATCAATTTTATAAAATACGCTTAATTGTTTATTTACATGGTAGATTAATTCCAAAAAAAAAAAGAATTCGTGTAAAAATGATTTAAACTCGATAAATATATTTAATAAATATATTTAATAGAATACTTTTTATTTTAAATATTTGTATTAAAATTCACACATACATACTTCATAATTTCATCTCTTAAAATTCAAATTAAAACAAATGTACACGCGTATTATAAAATTCTAGAATTATTACGAAAAGTACTCTTCTCAAAAGTTTTTAACTTTCTAATTTAATTTCATTTCTTACGTAATTTCATTTAATCTCTAGAAGAGTCTATACGCCATTGCAAACAAAGATACAAATTTTTCGAACGGGAGAAAAGGAGGTGAAACATTTTCAAGCCAATGAATAAATGCTTATTCCAATATCAACAGTGATCTCGAGACACTCTTCACCGAAGTTTCGAAGTATTATCCCGTCGATGATGGGTTTTCAGCTTTTTTTGGAACAAAAGAATCGAGCGAGGAACGGTTGATTATAACGAGCGATTAAATTTTTCATTATCGAAAAAATTCTGCAACGTCAGAAATAAGTAATAATCAGCAGATCGTTTGAGCACCGCGTCTTCTTGTTTTCCTATCCAACATTGAATTTCAATCTCAACAAAAGTCAAAGCTATCTCTCGATACCCCAATTCGATATCCAAACCACCAATGTATCGAGAAAAATTATATACAAGATATTAATATATTCGTGAAACATTTTTGAAAATTTAATCGTAGATTATAAATTTTTATACACATTTTTCTTTTGATTAATTTACCTTTTTACAATTTATAATAATTGAATATTATAAACAAATTTATAAACATATTCTAAATAAAATTTTCTGATCACGATACGATATTGAAAATTGAAAAAATTTGAATAATTTATCTGTCACACGAAAGGAATAATTTCTATCATACGGATTCTAAATCATAACCTCTAAAATTTGAATTTCGAATATATTAATAATTGGATATATCAATCGCATTGTTTATTCATATATAAACATGTTCTCTAAAATAATGAACATTCTCTTTCTATCTTCTACATTCAGCCATTGCATATTTCCATATACTCTATTTATCAGAACACTCATATTATAGCATCACACTTGCGATATTATTCTGCACTATAAACTCTTCTACAAAGCCACAAATATATTAACACACGCACTGCGTATACACATTTCAATCGAACTCGAGTTTCCAATAAGTCTTGGTATACTTTTTCTTCTTTTAATATTTTCCCGCATCTTTTTCTCGTTTGATCACTTTCGAAACGTTTCAATGTTTCAATATTAAAATAAAAGCGAAAATAAAGTAGTATTCCCGCGGAGCGACGAGAAAATTGCAATTCCGAAACATCTCTGCGTCGCATTTCATTGATGGCAATGGACAAAGCTCCAAACTCCATATTTATTCGCCGTCTGGTTCTTTTCTTTCTATGCTCGAGGAGGATCTCGCTTGGACCAAAGCATTGTTGCCGTTTCAATCTTAAAGCGATGCGCGAGCCAGAATACATGGCCTCTCTTCTCTGTATTTATACATGAATTACGCGCGATTATTTTAAAAGACTACCACCAGACGTCTCCAGACGTCTTTAATCTGTGTGATATGCTGTGTTCGAAACATGGAGGAAGACGTTCGTCTTGTTTGGTGTTAAATCAGAGAGACACGCTTGAGATTAAATTTATTTAAACCGGATCTGCGAATATAACTTGAAATATAAGATAAATGAACGAAATACTTTTGTTTAGAAATTAAATTAATGATAGTATTAAGTATTAATTTTTTTCACTTTATTTTTTATTTTTTAGAATATGTATATGTATTCTTTATAAATATTACAAATATACCATTATCATAATTTTATTTTATTAATTTTCACAATTGCAACAAGGAAAAATCAAGATTTAATTTCATTCACATCAGCAATATATGGTACGTGACAATTATTTACTTTTATTTATAAAATACCTCAATTCTTGTATAAAAATAAATTTACATTTATACTAGTTCATTATGTTCTGTCTAAATCATCAACAGTCAGTATCAGTAATAATAATAGCAA